ATGACGGCCGGGGTTGGCTCCGCTCATCGGTCCTTCCTGCCAGACCTGGTTCGTCGACAAAAGGTCCTGAGACAGATGCAGAGTCGCAAAGATCGTCATCTCGTTGTCGATAAACGTCGCCGAAAGGTCAGAGACATTGAATTTCAAGCTGCTGGGTTGCATTGATGGAGTTGTGCTGTCAATCGACGACGTGTACGCTTGAGCGCCGCTGCTGTTCACAAAGGCCACAAGAGCCTGCGACCCCGCCATCTGCTGACCATTCGGATTAATCGCCCAGGCTGTCCATTTTGACGAGGAGGTGCCGGTGTGGCGGAAGGCGATGCTGACGGTGCCGGCGGTTTGGTTGTAAGTCCAGTGGAGGAAACAACTCAAGGCTGGGAGATCTTGGCACTGGGCGAACAGGCGATTTTCGGAGAAACTGTAGCTCTGGCAGGTCTGATTCTGAGCAAAGGAGGAAATGCAGAGGGAAAACAGAAAACAAGAAAACAGAGCAACTCTCAGAGCTCTCTCCATGGCGGTTCTTTCAATTTTTGAATCCGACCCAGTACCTCAGAGGAATAAACTAGTTTCGGGTTCGATGGCGGATAATTCTGAAGCTTATTCTCTGAGGTGAAAGTGAAATCTGCAAATGGAGGGAATTGAGGATTTTGGAGCCTCTAAAGTGGGTAATTTATAGAATGTATCAAGAAGGTGGGGGGAAAGTCGGGTTCTTCTTAAGACTGTCAGGAAGGGATGGGGTCTTAAATTGACTCGTTCTGCAATGAAATCGTCATGCAATGGTATCAAGTCCAACACGGTGTTTTGGGTTTTTTTTTTTTTTTTCTCTTCAATTTTACTAAGGAATTGTCTAGTCCGTGTCTAAATTAGAGGTTAAGACACGTTAATTAAGATATTTTAAATTAATTTTATATAAATTTTTATATTAAATTTATAATTTTTATAAATTTTAAGATAAAATATTATATTATATTATATTTTTATATTTTATATTATATTTTATTTAAATTTTATATAAAAATTTATTAAAATTAATTATGAATACTATAATAAATGAGATCTAAGGCACAAATTAAAAAATCTCTTTTACAAATAAAATGCTGAAGGGTTTTTTTAACGTAAGTAAATGCTCTCTTTGGCTCCCTCTACCCCTCCCGCAAACCCTCCCCTCCTCTTTCCCCTTCCCCAAAATTTTGTTAGGACCACTTATTGTAATTTAAATTTTATTAATTCATAATTTTTTTTATAGAAGTAAAGATTTTATTAAAATATAAATAAATTTGAGATTACATAAAAATCCCTATATTAGGACATCTATAGTTAAATCAAAAGCATCTGTTATACTACTAGTATAAGTTTAAACTATACTCATAATCGATATAAATAATTAAGTATGGAAAGTCATTTAACCTAGTGATTGCATTAACAACCATTGTATGAGCATAATAGAGCTATTAAGGTAGAAAGAAAATCATTGTGAGCATTCTGAGCTATCAAATATTCTCCACTACTATGCTAACCTCAGGGGAAATGAGGTACTTGAGCTATCCTAAATCTCCACCCACTAATAGCGCTACCACATGTAAGAAACAACTAGGGGGGGAGGGGGGAAGTAGTGCCCCCATCATCCAATTCATGCTTAATCATCTCATAATTGGCTACAATCTTCCTTTCCTTTTGCAATGAAGTAGTGTCAATTGCCTTCAATTCTAAGCTTCCCAAACTAAACCAAAGCCTTGGATAATCACTCGAAATTCAACTACCAAGACCCGACATGATTAGCCTCAACTCCATAAATTAGTCGCAGACGCCAACCACATCCCACCCATTATCAATAGGTTTACAACAATATGTAAACCACTATCCATAGCTCTTCACCCCAAGGTCAACCATCTCACTACCAAAAACCCTAGTCCCCTCTGTTACAATTGCCTCTAGCCTTAATGCCTTCACTCCATAGTCAATCAGCTCCAAGGAAGAGTTAGGCACCGCTATCCCACCCAAGATTCTCTCAAGAACTAAGAATCCACAACCGATGCTTTTTTGGGGCAAGAACCAAGAGAAAAGAATGGTAAAAAGAGGAAAAAGAAGGGAGAAAAAAGAAGCTCTAAAGAGTTGTAGAAGGATAGCAAAGAACAGGTAAGGAAGAGGGCCCTTCAAAATAGGGAGATGTACCCAAGTGAGGTGCTCAACTATTTGAAGAAGGGGAAAACCCTAGGTTGGTGCTAAGAGAAAAAGTTTTTCGTAAAATTGATGAAAATGTTAAAATTAATTTATGGCATCTTTCAAAACAGTTGTTATAATATTTAGAAATATTTATTTATAAACTAATTTTAATATATTAAATAATAAATATTTTATTAATTATCAACTATTTTTAACAATTAAATTAAGATAAAATTTTGACAATTGGGTGACCCTAACAAATTAAAAGTGGTCATGACCATAAGTGTGTAAGAGTGATGAGGAGGAAGCAAAAGAAGAGGAAAAAGGTTTCTTAAGTTGACAATTTGGGTGACTACCGACTGGGCCATAGGATTCCATAGATAGTTCTATATATTTTTAAAAAGCAGTTTGAGAGGTGTTTAATGCAATTTAGAACGATTGAGGAAAGGAGTATATATGTGAATATAAATAGCTCATTAGAGATTGTCATGTAATACTCTCACCACTTTCGTTTATTGTTAATATATTGTTGAAACTGATCTATTCTTATTATTTTTTGTCTTTATATACACTTAAATATATGTTATGTATGGTTATATATCTTATTTAAGGGATAAAACTTTTTACCTATATAAATACTATATAGCTGTTGTTAATAAATTTTATTTCAATTAAAAAAAAAAACTTATTGATAATGCACAGTTAATATATAGCAGGATAAAAAATTCAGATACCATATTATAAAAAAGGGAAATGGGTCAGGTGAAAATTTAGCGAATTAAAGAATGAGTATAGTTTGCGGTCGAAGTAGGGGGAGAACATGAAGGATTTGTTTTCTTTCATAATTTATATAAAATATATTTCTTCGCTTTTGAAATTTCCGTCGTAGCCAACAACCATTCTTGTTCACACATGCTTTTACGCCTACTGCAGCATTCTGAAGAAATTGGACTGTATCCTTCCAAGAACTTGGATTGTACCCTTCCAAGAACTTGGAATGTGTACTACTTTTTTATTAATAATAAATTTTACGGCTAAATGTGTAATTTTATTTTAAAATTATTGTATTGAAGTAAATTATTATTAAAAAAATTAATATAATTTATTATTTTAAAATTTTATTTTAAAAAAATTTATGTAAATTTAA